GGGGGAGGAGGGAGGGGGAAGTAATTTTTAATACAAAATTTATTTTTTTTTAAACTTTCCAGACCTCTGTTCTACAGCCAGGTGACCCTTCTTCTCCCCACACAGCACCGCTAAGCCTCAGCCAGGGCACACAGCAGCACCCAGGGCCAGGCTCACACCGAGGGCTTGGTGATCAAGATCCAGCCCCATGCCTGGGACTTGCATTTGGCCACTGCCTCCAGCAGAGCTCGGGAGCCTCAAGAGCAGGGTACGGGAAAGAGAAAGTTTAATAAACCAGGTTTTTACTGAATACGAAGCAGTTTCTCTCTGCTGCTGGTTCAAAACCAGCCAGACCATTAGCAGAGGTTTTGGCTACCCAGCACATTTGGGCTTACCAGAGAACTCATTCGGCTCATCCCTGTGCCACAGTGGCAATCCCCAGGGAAAGCCCCAGCTAAGGCAGGGAGATGCGAGCTCAAGGAGCAGAGGACCAGCATGAACACAGAGGTGGCTCCATTTTAGGGAAGCTGTTGAACCGTTACTGCAGCTGTATCGGGACCAACTACCCAGCAAAGCAACCAAATTCACTTCTTGAACACCCCTCACCTCCTATTCCATGTCCCAAATCTTGACACCACCACAACCATGCCGACTGCTGCAGGCAGTGAGCTCTCCGGCACAGCGTGCCAAGGTTGGACTTGCCATAGCAAACACCGTCTTCTCAAAGCTTAACCCCCGTGCTCAGTTAGGAAGATCTGTCTTGGAAACGCAGTCAGATGGGTCGCGGGGAACTGCAGCCTCAGCCAAAATCGCTAAGCGAGCTCCAAGCTGGGCTTGCATCAGGTCGCATGATGGGAAGGGAGGGAGTGTGTGTGCAAATACGATTGCTCTGCGACTCGCTCGCCAGAATCCGAAGCGGCGAGAAGAAGCCATCCGAGCCCTTAAAAGAACACGCGAGCTGGAGACATTTCAACAGCAGCCAGAGCGGATTCGAGGCGACTGAGGGGATACTGTCACCCCGCACTACACCCGCATTTTTATGTTGTTACAGAGGAACCAGAAGGTTACAACAACTCCTCTGGACAGAAAGCCTTTTTGCCGTTCACTTGCAAAAGTTCTGCAGAAGCAGCGCTCCTTGCCCAGGGCCCCTGCGGGTGCAGCCCCCCGGGGAGCCCGGACCCGGCGCCGAGACCCGAACCGGGCGGCAGCAGCGGAGGAGGGGAGGGATGGAAGAAGGGATGGAGGAGAGGAGGGAGGGAGGGAGGGAGGGAGGGAGGG